TCTTCCCAGAAGCAGATGTGGTTGGATTGCTCGGGCCCGCCAACGTGCTCCACGGTGACGTGAGTCACCAGCTCGTGCATGGTGCTGAAAGTTTTCGAGCATAATTTCTTGGGCGTCTGATCCAGTTCAATCCACTTGCAGATGAGCTCTTGCTTGATGGGCTGTCTCATGTAGCGAAAGAAAGCCCCAGGGCCATGGTGTGACGCTAGATTAACGTTCAGGTTCATGCTACTGTAGCCGTGGAAGGAGGAAGCCGCGAAAGGATCTGTCCGGGAGATTGGTAATGGAGTGAAAGGCTCAGACCTGGCGTACATTTGTCCAGGTAGTCCCAGCCTGATCTGTCCGTTTAGATGGCCACCTGGAGGTCCATGGGGAGGTTGCTCCTGGTGATGGAGTCCAGTAAGGAGCGAATGAGTCCCGACTTCTGAGTGGTGGTGGTGATGGTGGTGGAGGTGGTGGTGGTGGGGAGCATGGTGTCCGGGGTAGCCACCTGTTGTTGAGACAAATATTCCGTGATGAGAACTTGGAGCAGCAGAGTGTGGATAAGAGAACCCTGGCATGCCGGGGGCAGTCAGATCCCCGCGCAGGAATAAATCTCTACCTGCCGATAGAGCCTGGCTTGGGTGAGGGATCGCATAAGGGACTGTTGTTGACTGCGCCGGGCCCAACGCTCCAGTTGGACGCGGGACCACTTCAGCTGGGCCTGTCACGGGATGGCGGGGCTGAGGGTCAGCACAGAGCCTAAGGGCCGCTGGGTGATGAGGAGGAGGAGGTGGTGGTGGTGGTGGAGGAGGAGAGTGTTGGTGGTGGTGGTGATGGTGACGATGGTGATGGTGGTGTCCCAAGTGTTCTGACCGGAATGGACTCAGACCGAGGCGGGGTTCTCCCGGGTGCTCCCCAGGGCGCGTGGGAACGATGGAATGGGGATCCCCGGCGAAGCCTGTCATGCTCTGAGGGGAGTGGTGATGGCGGTGAGGAGGATGAGGATCCCCTGCCAAGCCTACTAATTTCAGCGCAGTGTTCCGCTTGGAAAGTGCCGCCGACCCCATTCCTGGCTTCCCCCAAAGCTCACTTGGTTCTACAGTTCTAAAAAGTCACCTGACAGCGGGGAGGGGGGAGCGAGCGGGAGCGCCTGAAAGGCAGGGAGAGAGAGGGAGAAAGCCCGCGGTGGGAAAAAAAACTTTTCCGAAAGTTTTCCTCCCCCCCACTTCCTTCGAAAGGTTTCCTCTCTCCCTCCCTCCCTCCCTCCCAAACTCTCGGTCTCCACTATTTGGCTTTGTTTTGATTTTGCTTCTTCTTCTTGCTTCCCCTTTCTTTTTCTCTCCCCTCTCTTTATTTCCCCCCTCTCCCTTCCCCATCCCTTTTGGGGGGGGTGTAGATTTTCCCCCCTTGTTTTTTAATGCCTACGTGGAATCCCATATGCTTTGAGAGGCAGCAGCAGGACGTTGGGAGGCTACTGAATAGAGCTTCATAGACTCGGCTCCAACCCGGAGCGCTTAAACAATCAGGGAGGCCGCTGATTGGCCGAAGCTGCCTGACCGACGTCAGCGATGACAGGTCCCCCTCTGAAGTCTGAAAAGATTTAGGAAGGAGCGGGGAGGAAAAGGGCGGGGAAGGGATGAAGAGGATACAAGGAGATCTGCGCTTGCGCGGTGCTTGGTGGGTAATTTCCAAAAGACCCTTTGCGTTTTTCCTCCCTCCTCTTTCTTTGCTCCTCCGCTCTGCACGGCTCCAGCGAGCCGGTCTGCTTTTGCCTCCCCGCAGATCGTTTTCACCTGCCTTTTAATTAACAGAATTAAAAGTAGTCGGAACATGTGTCCGGCCCAAGTCGAAAGCGTCTCGGTGCCGTTCAGCGTTCTTGGGCAATTGTTGAGGAATAGTGTGCCACGACAGCGGCTGCGGGTGCGCAAAGGCCAGGCTGGCTGGGGGCCGGCTGGGGGCTATGGTCTTTCCCGTCCTTTCCTGCGCCCCGCTGGTGGTCTCCGATCCCTTGCTTGGAGTCGCCCCGTTTTCCTCCCCCCCATCCCCCCAAATTGCTTGGTGCGAGGTGCGAGGTTCAAGCCTTCACTTTTCTCATTTGCGCTCGCCTGAGGTCTTCTCGGTTCCCCTCCCTTCACCCTTGCCCGGGCCTCTGTCCCAGTCTCAGCCAGCCTCTTAACCAGCAGACGGTTTAATGGAGAGCCGAGAGCGGAGTCTCCTTCCCAGCCGAAGGGCCTCATTAGCTCCAGGCTATCTTCAAGGCTTGTTCGCGGTTCCTTCCCGCCACGAAGCTGGAGGGGACCGAGAAAGAAAGCCAGGCGCGGCGCGGCTTCTCTCAAAACTTCCGCGCGGGTCTGAGTCTTTTGGGGGCTGGAGTGGGAAAGAAATCCGGGCCAGGCCAACCCGCAGCGGGAATCCGCAGGGAAAGAGGTACGGAGGGGGAGAGAGGAAGACTGCCCCGAGAAGGCTTCGCCAGGCGTTACAAGATTGCCTCCGCTCGTTTTCTCTGCTCTGGAGCCTCCCGGATCAGAAATGGCTTCGGGCAACGGGCTCCGATTCGGCGTTCCCCAACAGGCAGGGGATGATACCTAGTTAAGAGATAGAACCTAAAAAGCAGGGGGATAGATCTTGAGATTGCACACGGTTATTTTATGCAACTCCCGGAATATGCTGTAAATTAGAAGATGCTTTCCAAACTTGGGTGCCCCCCCCCCACTGCAGATTGAATACCGATTTTTTTATGGCACACACAGATATGGAGAAGCTCCCGTTCCCAACATAAATGGGTACCATAAGGAAAAGGCAGGCTTTTGCATTCAGAAATTATTCTGAGAAGCAGAGCTAGGCAAACAGTTCTTTAGATTTCTAACACTTGTTGGCAGCCCAGAGGGCCAAGCCTTAAAAAAAAAAAGAACAATACTCGTACCCTACTTCCTAGGCACCCTATTTTCCATCGTGACATTATTTGCTTTATTTTTAAAGTGAGCCACTATTGCAAGTGAGTGCAGCAGCAGTGAAGTCCAATCTTGCGGATCATTTCAGGAAGTTTACTGAAACTTAAGAAGTTCCAATACGCATCCCCTGAAGTACTGGTGTGGGTTGGAAATGGGGAAGGGGAGAAATTTGTATTGATCTATTCACCATATATATATATATATATATATATATATATATATATATATGGTGAATAGAT